TACTAGCGGAATGATCTGGTATTGTAAAATGATTTTTTTATATGTTGCACACCGGGTGAAGAATCAGTCGTGTAACACCGACGGTTCCTCCTGTTGTTTTTCTGTTAGTGAAACGTTACGTTCCTAAAAAGTACTTTAAAGCGCATAACTAAGTTTGTGGGGGTTGTTTTGGTGGGGATCATGCGCGTGTGCTACAATCAATCTTATTTTACAAACGTACAAACGCGTCCATGTCAACAGGTGGATTACCGGAAGAACCTCTAAAGAAAGTGCAATATAGGGATAAAGATTTATTATTGTTCACTATATTAAATGATAATAAATATTCTGACTTGTAGCCGTATATCAGAATATTGGGAGGAACCTCATTTCAAGTAGGGAAATACAGATACGTGGGATTACTATTTCATCGAAAAGACACCAAATAAAACGAAGCACAAGTCACATAATACTTTAGGCGTTGAATTAAAAGGTTTGATTTAGAATTTAAAACCAGGAACGAGAACAAGCAGAAAAGCGTTAGCAATGCAACGTGATTTGAGGGTTAGTATTTTTACAAAACAGCAAACGTGCTACGCGCCCTGTGCTGCTGGTATGGGTGGTATGGGGAAGAAGAGCGCTCAGTCTTATGTACGCCATGACATGCATACTTTGCTTTATAGTATTGTGTGCTACGCTCTAAGCTGTTGGTTTAGAGAAGAAGAGTGTCTGCGACTGCTGGTCGAGTTGAGGTTAATTTTTGACAGAGAAAGCAAGTCACAATCTAGTATATACTCTTTGTGACTTGCGCTGACCCCCTGCTGACTTAGCAAATTTTTTGCATATAATATTAACGGCAATTAGATACGTACTATGCCGTAATTAATTTACTATATGGTAAAATGCCGTAATTCAATAATTCTACCGCCAATTATAGCTTAAACGGTCTGTTGTAGATCATTCTCTGTTTAATGGATTCAAGTTTGTTGTTAGCTTACTAAGACCAGCTATTAACATGTCATTATTGGAACCTATCCTTATGGAGAGTCAGTATAATTTATGTTCTTTTAGATCAGAGCTGATAATTAAAAGATGCTCCTTTTAGACCTCCAAACGATATACGGTTAATGGCAATGTAATTCTGTATTTGAATATAATTAGTTTTTTCAGTTTCTTAAAATTTTACATTATCACGAAATTTATAATAAAGATAAAAAAATTGCAATTAATTGCAATTATTCTTAAATTGAATTGCAAATTGTTTTTTTATAACAATTTAGTTGATCGTAATTACATACAACTGTGTCACAATTAATTTTTCAGTACCCTATTAAGAATATGTTTAACTATTTATCCTGGTCTAATATTAGTAGTTTCGTCTCTTAAAAACAATTAAGAAAGCTTTTCCTTCTAAAAAAATAATATTCCAAAAAAATAAAGGATTGATAAAAATTATAAGGTTGAAATTCCATGTGGCTGCGTCCTAGATTGGTGGTAACGCTAGGACTTTTATATATGTACATACATACGTTCAAGTTTGTGAAAATCTTGGTTTTTGCAAACGTCAAAGCGATCTCAAAAATCTCAATTTTGTGAGAGAAGTGCATACAATACTGTAAAAATCATTTCTAAATTCTTTTTTGATACCGTCTCATAGTTTTTTTTTTTTATATTTTTATTAAACCAATAAATAAATTTCTGTAGAATTTTCGTGAGATCACATAATAATTAAATTCTTTACGATTATACTATTTTATATATAATATATATTATGAGTATAGTATGCTAATTTTATATACTCAAATGCGATTTTTGTAGTATACTCCACTAAACCATACATCACTACTATTCTTAATACTGTTTTTAATCATACACTATAGTCCTATAATTTGTCATGTAACAGTAATGCCAAGAATGCTACTAACGCTAATTCTACTAGTTCTAAAAGTACTACTCAATTCTAATAGAAATAATAGTTCAAGTCAACTAATTATAACTAATATATGTAGTAGCGAAATAGCTTCAAAAATTTCTCTTGTAAAAGGACAGTTCCAACAACTCAATAATAAAGAAATGATCGTGTCTTCATACAGTAACAACTCGAACACTTGATTAACATTCAACTAACAATTCCCAAAGGAGTAGTTGTGTCTTCGTACACGGATAACTCGAATAACCTATAAACTAGTTATAATGTCTTCATACACGAATAACTTGAAATACTTTATTGAAGTATAATAATAAACTTGTTATACGACTACTTGTATCTTCATATAACATTTAGCCGTTTGCCTCTCTCGTAACTGCAAATCACCTTAATCCTCTTAAAGCGTAACCGCAATAAACCTCATATTTTAATTAGACATTAATCGACATTTGCTATCAATCGAATAACATATCCATCACTAAAGAAAAACCGTTATACCGGACTTATAAGAGGTAGTTCCGGGTGTAACAGTACTTTACAAAAATCTTACATTTTTGCTTTAAAATATTCTAGATCTAGTGTGAATTATAGGTCTCCAAGAGGAACTTTACATAGTAAATCACAAATTTAGTTTCTTACTAGGATTATTAACTAGTTTTTTTTTTGAAAAAACTACATTGCGAAAACCTTATATTTTTGCGATAGTGACAAAATATTCTGGATTTAGTGTAAATTATTATAATATAGGTCGATAAGAGGGAATTTTCATAGTAAATCGAAATTTAGTTTCTGACTAGCACTATTAACGAAAAAACTACCAATTTTTCGTATTTTGTCGAAACACGAACTAATATCTCGTTAGTAGTGCTAGTAAGAAACTAAATTTGCGATTTACTATGAAAATTTCCTATAATCTTAATAATTCACACTATATCTAGAATATTTTAATGCCAGACTAATTAGTTTAGCATTCATACTAGTTTAATGATAGCCATCCAAAAAAAAAGATTGTTAATATATCCTGAAATGGACTGTATGAAACATTGTTGGTAATTGACAATCGAATTAACGGATCCACTAATTTCCCCCCAAGTTACTATTGGTAGTGAGTAAATCGCATTTCTAATTGGATAAAATCGACAACCTTTAATAATGTGATGCAACAAAAAACAATCGCTTGTTTTTGAAAAGACTCTTTTATCTCGAAATTTCGCCTAAGAAATCGCCTTTTGCGTATTAAAAAAAAATAATTCCTTGCAAGATTTTGTTATAAAATCGTCTATTAATTCTGACATTAAACTGAACTTTATAAAGATAAAAGGACATGTAATTTGGTGCGAATAATTCCAGTCAATATTATTGGGGGCAAGTCTATTTACAAACATAGTGTAGTCATATAGTGACGATAATTAGTAATTACATCATATGTAGACGTAAATGATAAACCATATAAAATTCAAATTGTACTAACTCTTGAACCAGCAGGCTCGCACAAATAAAATTATATCTATTGGGTTCGTTTAAAGTAATAAAGCTTGTTTATTTTTAGTTTCATTGTTTGGAGAATAGCGGATGGCTCTAAGTGATACCAAAATTCTCGTTTTTGATGCATTTTTAATAAAAAAATATCAAAACGTAACTTTGAATTTTCTGTCTGTCGCCATTATCACAATCTACATAGTTGTTTTTGATATTTTTATTTAAATGCATCAAAAACAAGAATTTTTGATTTCACTTAGAGTTTTCTAATGTAGGTTAGTCATAGCAGAAAAATTTCGTGGTAACATGATCGCTGACTACTTTTGTCTATATTTAAAAGATTGACTAGTACTTAGCTCGTCGTATATATGGTAAGAAATAAACATAGTATTTAAATCTGTTGTGTATTAATATTGCAAAGGCCGTTATCTTACAGAGACCCGTCGGGATTATATATCAAAATAGTTAAGCCTGTATTAAACACCAGCTACGTATATGTCGTGTCTGAAGTTAGCATCTGTAACTTCAAGTTGAAACTGCCTAAAATTACTAACTAATGCGTGCAAGGAAGATCTAATTTCAGAAAATGTGCTTAAATTGACATATATCGATATATATAATCCAGTAATCAAAGATGAAACTTGGATAAATTTCGGCACGAGCAATCAAAGATGAAATTTGGATATATTTCGGCACGGGCCATATCAATGGATTCGCAGACATGAATATTACACTAATATGCAATGTCTGACTACTGTGCAGAAGTCCGGAAGTGGTTGGCGATCACATTACCGCGACATTTTTATGCCATGACTAACCTACCTAGTCATCTACTATTCTCCAAACAATGAAGCTAAAAAGAACAAGCGTTGTTACTTTAAAAAGTACGTTAAAACGAACCCAACAGATATGTGTGAGTCTGCTGGTTCAAGAGTTATTACAATTTGAATTTTATTCGAATCTTATTTTACTATTTACGGCCATCAATATTCATACCTAAAAAAATTGGATTGAATGATCATCATTTAGTTTCCTATTTTTTGATTGTCCAATTGTCAACAAATGCGTAATTTTATCTTAATAAGGTGTGGATTAAATTACTAAAATCGGGCGTAAGACAAAAAACATGTTTTACACAGTGGGAAAATTTGGTTATATAAAGCCTTGCCATTTCCCAAAATCTCACATTAAAAAAATCGTCGTCTCTAGTGAAATTGTCATTATTTTTTACAATTGTAAAAGTGTAGAATTGCAACGATGCCTCTTAATAGGTCCAATATCTTAAGATTAATTTCTATAAAAAGTGGTGCATTTTCTTTTCCAAATTCATCACTGAAACCAAAATTTTCCCGTTTTTATCGTAGTCTTAACAGTCAAGATGGACAGTATGCGATAGCTCACACTACGAAGCCATCACCTTATTTAGACTCAGTTCAAGAGAAGACCGTGTCTTCATTCGCAATGTCTCGAATGATGGTGTCTTCAGTACAAGGATCTTTCTTGAAGTTTCTTGTACAGACAAGTAAAGCTAAAAGGGTACTTGAAATTGGTGCTTTTACAGGTTATTCAGCGTTGTGCATGGCCGAAGCTCTACAAGGACGAGGACCAGATGCCAAAGTAGTCACATTAGAAAAGAGCGAAGAGTATTTTAAGGCGGCAAAAGAGAACATAGAGTCTTCTGGACTTGGACACCTGATTGATCTGAAGCTTGGCGATGCGAGAGAGATGTGAGCGATAATTTATTTAAATATAAGTGACACCAAGGGGCTTTTAAAGTTTTGACGCAGCCTAATCAGAGATATGTACGTATGGGACACTGCGCGGAGTGATTTTTAACATTCAGGCTAGCTAGCATAATTCTGGCCAGCTAGTATAATTCTGGTCGGCTTGCGCAGTGGATTCAAAAAATTCTCGATTTGCCCATTCCTACATATGGCATATAGTGTATGTCATCGATTAGGCCTGAGTCCGATAACGATAAATAATAATAATAAATTTGAAAAGCACGAGGTCTGATTTTCCCTTGCCGTCACTCATATATTCATCACTATAAGCAGACGTGATAAATAAAGTTTTTGAAATTTTAGAGTTTCAAATTTGGATAATTCGGTAAAATACGACCTAATATTTCTTGGTAGGATAAAGTTTTTTTTTTTGTTTATGTAAATAAATAAAATAATTATATTAAGAATAACAATATATTTAACTCTCTTATCGGAAATTAGATGCTGACAAAGGTGGTTATATCCATTATTATAATATTATTCTCGAGCGAGATCTTCTTTCAGATGATGGATTTATCGTCGCTGATAATGGTTTGAATAATTTTCCAATTAGTTAATATATACATGTTGTAAATGGGTGTTAAATTTGGAATAGGATTAAGTGTTTCAGTTAGCGTGAGTTATAGTCAGGATAGAATTATATAAAATAATTCTACTACTGAACACTGAATTTATTTAAGTTTCAAACCCATTTACAACATCATACGGGTGTTGCCAAGAAAAGAACTGTTTAATGACGGCACCCATATAAAAATCGATACAGACTAATTATAAAATCTTTTTAATAGTTTTGTTTGGTGGACATGTATCACAAGTGCCTAAAGCAAAAGATCTCAGTCAATTTCCTCCTCCGGCCAAACATTTACATGCATTCAACGAACACGTTGCTAATGACGAGAAAACTACGCAAATACTTTTACCATGCTTTGACGGAATCATGTTAATTCAAAAAAAGGCCTCTAACGCATAGATATAACACCAAATCAATATTATTGTGATGCCAATTTAATAAAGTTCAGATAACTTTTTAAGAACACGTAAAATTGTTGTGCCTGAAGTTACTACTTTCATGCAGTATTTAAAATTGGCTTGCATAAGATGCACATGTGCAAGATTTTTTTTTTGAATTTTAAAAAATTTACTAACTGTGCAAGTAAAATTTTCTAAAGAAGCTGCACAAAATTTACAAAACATACTTTTGAATTCTTCCATGTAATATTGTATGTTTTTAATGACCATTAGGGTTCCGCATACCCGGCACGTGCCTCGTGGCCGGCATTTTAGTTCCTGGCACTTTGTACCTGTAACTATTCTCAGTTCGTGCCATAAAGTTTTTTGTTGGCACTTTTGTGCCCAGAGGCATGAGTTACCTGGTCAAATTTACGTAAAAAAGGATAATTTTACATTTTTGTGGGCATGGCACAAAAGTGGCGGCATAAGTCGGATATTACGCAAAAGTCAAATTTTGCGACACAAGTCAAATGTTACATCATAATGTAATTGAGTTACGCCAATTGACGTTATAACTTCACCAAATGTCTGCACCTATAATCACAACGCTACCTCAGGTAGTATTATCTTTGGGACACGGGTTTTTATTGATATTACAAATATAAATATATTTTTTTTATTAATTATACCGATACAGCAAAAGAGTTTGGAACCAAATTTATTTTCATATGTTAAAACCGGTTTTAATTGGTTTTAGTATATGGCCATAGGCACCATGCTGGGCGCTAGTGTCTTGTGCCGTGCCAGCACAAAAGCACCAGGCAATCTTAGGCCGTAACATTTGCCTTTGCTGAGTCCTGTAATATTTTACTTATCCCAGTAATACTTTATTTACGTCATGTCTTAACAAGTATAAAATCTATACAATATTCTCGACGTTATAAGAATATATAAGCTTAGTAGTATTTTGTCATTTTTATTCAATATAAAATACTTGACTCTACGCTGTAAAGTTCAAAGTATACGATGTAGTTATTATCGCTGTTATTTTATATAAGTTATTGGTTGCGTAATGTTCTATTTTCTATAACATCGTAATTTTTTATAGTGTTGTAACATCTTTATATTGTCGTAACTTTTTATATTGTTGTAATTAAGTTACGACAAATGTCAGATACGTATTATCGTTATGACACTTTTGATGTAATGACACGCCAAATGGACGTAACCATGCGTCTTCAAATGTCTGCATTTATAGTTGTGATAAAACAGCTTGGTACATTTTTTTCTGACAAATTAATATATCTTATTCTGATTACAACTAGTCACGCATTGGTCCAATTGTGCGTATTAATAATATGTTAAGTAACTTTAGTCAGTAACGTCAGTGACGTAACTATAGCAAATATCGTAAGAGCATAACTTTTAATATGATGTAACTTTTAATATAGCCTTACTGAAATTAATTATTCTATATAAATGTTTGCATATTGTCATAATCATAACTATGTTATAAAAATATTATTACATATAAATACTTTTTTATTAGTCTTTTAATAATAAGAATATTACAAATAATAATAAAATTATTTGTAAAAGCAATGTTAGTCAAGAAACATCTTTTTATTATTTAAATTTATTAATAGTAACAATAAACAATTTTTTGCATATCAAGTCTCTGGTTTTTAATAGTCATAGAATAATGTTTTGATTTGAAGTACTAATAAAATTAATAATTAACATATTTTAATTTTTTTTAAAAAAAAAACTTTATGGTAAACCTAAATTAGGCTTAGTATAAAATTATATTAATATTGTAGATAATTTGAATAATAGATATTTTTATTTTTTTTTTTTTTTGGAGTTAAGGTGAGGTTATGCCTCAGGTCTGTTTATTCAAACATATTGTTACAGTTTGTACAATTTTTTACATTATACATTATCTATTGCTATATGTCTAATTAAGAGATGAGACTCAGACTAATTTATCTGCAACCTAAACCTACCAGAGCTAATCTTGTATCTCACTTACACATAACCTGGATTTTTGTTTCACATCCATCTATATTAG